CGGCTCCCTGCAGAGCCTTTCCCATTGCCCCCTGGGTCACGTGTCATTAGGAAGAGCAGGTGGGCCAGGCTCTTTCACAGCCCGGGAAAGCAGATGCCAGCAGAGGTGGGATCACAAGGCTGATGGCAGAGGTCGCCTTACTGAGGTCTCACTTCCATCTCAGCTGGTTCCAGCCCACTCCCACCACTGAGGACTGTCCTTCAAGGTGTGGTCTTTGGCGCCGTGGGAGGCGTCTGGGAGGGGACTAATCCTTGGCTGCAGATTCCTCAGGAAGGTGGCACCTGCCTGCAGCCTCGGGGACCCCTCGCCCCCACCAAAGCCAGTGCGCTCGGTGGCTAGGGGTAGCGGTGAGGGTGGTGAATGCTGGGCCAGGCCACCTTGAGCCTGCGATGGACACTCCGGGTAAACCGTCCAGGGCTCAAACCAGTGGGTCCAGTGCATCTAGGGACGCCGCCCTATGGGGTGACTGGGGCCACTGACAGGGCTGAACCCCCAACCCTACTGAGTTCTGTACCTGTTCCGGGTCGGAACCCTGTGACCAGCAAGTTGCCTTTCACAACCACTTCCTTTCTCATACTGGGACTCTTTGAAGCCTACACCCGAGGAAGGAAATAAACTTCATCTCACCCCATCTGCTCCTGGAAAAAGTCCGCTGCCTGGGAGAGGCCCGCCCAGCTCACCCGGTGCTCCCTGGCTGCCCGCTCGGAGGCGGTATAGACCCGGAGCGTGAGCAAGGGGCGCCACCTGCTGGCCATAGATGGCTAGGCAGCCAAGGGGACAGCCGTGCCAGCCGCCAGAAGAGTGAGTGGCCTGCTGGACTTGAGGGCACCGATGAACTTCTACAGTAAAGTTTCCCAGGGCTGCAGTGGTTTCCTGCAGCCACCACGACAGCATCACGGTCAGGCGTTAACACAATAGAACTCTGTTCTGGGGATGCAGCTCAGTGATGGAGCGTTTGTCTGGCATGAAGGAGACGCTGTGGTCCATCCACAACAGTGCAAAAGTAAAACAAACCAAAAATAGATCCACTCACGGCTCTGGAGGCCAGGACCCAAGATCAAGGTGTGCTCTGGGTGACTCTCCTTGCACGCCTCTTCCCTGATCTCTGGCGGCTGCTGGCACTTCTTGGCCATCCTGAGCTGCTCTGCCTTTGCTTCCGTCTCCACATCACCTTCCTCTCTGGATCTCTGTCCAAATTCCAGCTTCTTATAAAGACTCAACTCGTTGGATCAAGGCCCATGCTAAGGCAGTTGGACCTGTCCCTGTTTCTAAATCAGGTCACATTCACAGGTTCTGGGAGGACATGAAATCAGTACAGAGGCACGGCTCAAACACTGCCTGCCCTTTTCTCTACAGCCTAGCTCTCGCTGTCTCTCTGTCTCTCTTCATTATGTAGTTTAGGCTTGACTTGAACTTGCCATGTGTCCCAGGGTTGTCTTGAACTTGCACCAATCCCCTGCCTCAGCCTCTTCAGCGCTGAGATCCCAGGTGTGCGTCACCAGGCCCGGCTAAGCCTTGCGCAGGTGTCCGGGCCATCTCCTGGGCTCTGAGCCTCAGCAAGGCCCTGAGACTTCTGGTTGTGTCTGCACCACATTACACTGAATTTGAGTTGCTGCATTTTCTCCTTAGATTCTTCCTCTGATCATCCAGTTGAGCACTGCCTGCTCTGGAACCATACCTGTGCTAAAAGCTCTTATTTGTGTTTCCTCCGCTTTAATGTTGAGCACATATTTGGTGTGAGTGTGACAGACCCCAAGTCAGTGTGCAAACACCAGCCAGGTTTTCTTTGTTTCTTTCACGGCCCCACATTGACATCTAGATCTACAGTGTCAACACTGAGTCCGGGGCTTACACCATGAACCCATGGGTGGGAGGATCAGATTTCTGCAGAGTAGCATCTTTTCATAAATCAACCCCCAGGTGGCTAAGGAAAAGGCCACCACTGACACAGTAAAGCAGAAGCAGGGTGAATACCGTTGTCATGGTATTGGCATCTTAAGAGATGGGGGCAGCCAGCAAGGTCAGAAATAATGCTCAAGATGGTTTTGATTCAAGTGTTGATGAACAATGGGAATGGACTTCTGCCCCAAATAGTTCCTGGACCCAAGAGATAGTGAATGGGTGACACCATGTCACCAGTAAAGAGGTCATTGATCACCAAGCATGATGAGTAATCCCAGAACTTGGGAGACTGAGGCAGGGGGATACCTTCAAATTTGAGGCCAACCTGGGCTACGTCATAAGACTCTGTCTCAAAAAATAAAAAACAGGTTAAATAATAACAGCTAGTGAGGCTCAGGGGGAAACAATGTTGTGGAAATGTAAACTAGTATAACTGTTGTGGAAATCAGTATGAAGATTACCCAAGAAACTAAAACTAGCAAGTCCATTTAATCCAGCCATTCTCCTTCAAGGCATCGTCTCCAAAGAGCTAAATATATCATATTACAGTGATATGTACATACCCAACTTTGTAGCAGAATATCATCTTTAGTCATTCATAATAACTAAATGTTAGAAGCAACCCAATGTCCATTGACAGGTGAATAAAGAAAATGTATTTGGGGCTGGGGGTTTAGCTCAGCAGCATAAACGCCTGCTTTGCAACCAGGCAGTCCTGAGTTCAATCCCTGGTACCGATAAAAAAAATGTATTTATATACAGTGGGATATTACCTTGCCATACAGAAGGATAAACGAGCTATTCTAGGAAAATGAGTGTACCTTGAGAAGTAATTAAGTGAAATACATTGGACATGTTTAAATATTGCATGGTTTCTCATGAAAAAACACAAAATATGAATAAAAAGCAAAATAAAAGGTAGGTAATAGAAAATAAGGGGAAAAATCTTTTGCAAATGGGAAGGGGATCAAGAGATGGAAGGAGGAGGGGGCTGGAGATTTAGCTCAGCGGCATAAGCGCCTGCCTTGCAAGCAGGCAGTCGTGAGTTCGATCCCCGGTACCGATAAAAAGGAAAAAGACAAAAAAAAAAAAAAAAAAAGAGAGAAGAGATGGAAGGAGGGGGAGAAAGAGGAGGAAAAGGGGATCAAAAAGAATTAAGATGTGTGCATCCCATGAGGAATGTGACCATAAAAAAAATTGAAAAGAAAGAAAGCCAAAGGTACAGCTCAGTGGTAGAGCTCTCACTTTGCACACACGAAGCCCTGGGTTTGATCCTCAGCATCACAAAAGAAATCATCATCATGATAACAGTACTAACAAGTACTGCAGAGTGTTTTCCATCAGACTTCAGATTTCCAGCTTATCTTAAAAATCAGAGCTGCCCAGTCAATGTGATGCACCACATTAATAGAATGGAGAGAAATTACATAATTATTTCAGTGGACACAGGAAAAGCCATGTCAAAAGCCAACACATTTTCATGATATAAACATTCCACAGGCTTAGAATAGAGTAGATATTCTCAACATGATAGACATCTATGGAAATACTGACAACTACTCACTGGGAATAGTCTCTTCAATGGGAAAAAAACTGGAAACACTTTTCCTAAAATAGGAACAAGAGAGAATGCTCATTGTCACCACTTATATCCAACACTGTCCTGGCATTCTAGCCAGAGATTAAGTGAGCAAGAGAAATAAAAGACATCCCTGTTGTCAAGGAAGAGATAACATTGTGTTTGCGGGTGATGTGACTTCATAGTAAGAAAATTGAAAGTACTCACTGAAAAATTATTAGTGCTAATAAACAATTCAGTAAAGTTGTAGAGCACTAGATCAATGATAAAGAATCCTTTGTATTTCTACACACTAGCCATGAATAGTCCAGCAATAAAATCAATAAAACAATTGCACTTACAATTTACTTAGGAATGAATTTAACCAAGGAGGTGATGAATTTGCACACTGAAGACTACAGAACACTGATTAATGACATTGAAGAAACCCCAAGGTCATGGAAGAACATCACATGTTTATGGATGGGAAGAAGTCATACTGTGAAGCACCCCGCTCAACCCACAGATTCACTGCAAGGCCTGTCAGAGTCGCACACAAGCCGTTGGTTTGTAGACATGGAAAAGCTCATCCAAAATTGATACAGAATTCCAAGTAACCCTGAAACAGCCAAAACAATCTTGAAAAAAACAAAGAACAAAGCTGAAAGCATCGCACTTCCTGCTTTCAAAACCTATTGTAACACTGTAATCAGACAGAGTGGTAAGGCATGAGATCAGCTACATCAGTGGAATATTTTTCCCCACAAGAAATCCAACACAGTGTTATTTATGCCATGAACTAAATAAATCTCTACATTGCATGATGAAATAAATTAAAATTAACTACTGAACTTTTATTACAAGTCCAGTAAAAATAATATTTAAAGAGAGGCGCAAATGACATCCAAAATCGATAGCTTTAATGTTAGTTGGAAATACATGAGAATTACGCATATTTTCTAAGTTATATAACTTAGTTAATATAGTTAATTATACATTAAGTGAATTATAATAAAGCACTGGAGGAAAACACTTCAGATTCTCATTTACCTTTTTACTGTTTACATTTTTAAGTGCATATTTATAGTATATAATGATTACACTCACTGTGTGGAATTAGTACACATAGTAATATGTTAATTCTTTTTTGACAATAGATTCTAAGTCCAGCAAGTAACCCTTTGATATGGTCCATTTATTCTCCACAGGGGTATTTAGTTCATTTAGTGAGGAAAGACCAATCTCTTAAAAAAAACAGTGCTATGATGACTAGATAGCCTCATGAAAGAACTTAAACTGCACCCTTACCGTACACTATACATGAAAAGTGACTCAAAATGGTAAATATAAAAGCTGAAGCTATAAAAGGCTTAGGAAATACAATGGAAATCTTCATGACTTGGATGTGGCCCTATTTATTAAATAAGACAACAAAAGCATAAGCAACAAAAGAAAAAAATAAGTTGCATTTCACCTAAATTTGCAGCAAGACAGCAAACACTCGTGAATAGACAGTGAACAGTTCATGCTTGTTTTTTTTTTTTTGTCTTTTTCCTTTTTATCGGTACCGGGGATCAAACTCACGACCGCCTGCTTACAAGGCAGGTGCTTATGCCGCTGAGCTAAATCCCCCGCCCCTAGACAGTGAACAGTTAAGCCACAGAACAGGAGACACTATTGGCAAATCACGTTGCTAACAGAAGTCTAGTATCTCAAACGTACAGAGAATGCCTTCAGCTCAATGACCGCGAAGAGGCAAGGGTCCTGAACAGACATTTCTGCAGAGGACACAGACCAAGGACCACTGAGGACGCGAGGGGGTTCACATCATGAGTTATCAGAGAAATGCACAACTTTTGCTGAGCCACCGTCCTGGCAGGCTTTGCCAGTGGCACGGGTGTGTGGAATGCATGTGCTCGCACGTGCACGTGGGCTGTACACGTGAGATGTGTATGTGGGGTGAGGGGGAGTACGTGAGGGTGCATGCAGGTGTGGAGATGGGCGGTGTGAGCGGTATTTGGGGTGTTATGTGCATAAGTGGTTATTGGGTGGGGTGCTCCGGCAGGGCCCCTCTGAGGAGGTAAGGCTTGAGCAGCGACCTGAAGGAAGTGAGCAGTGGGCGCCGGAGGGAAGTGTGGCCTTAAAGGCCGAAAAGTTGGGGTGCCAGCTGGGCCCAAGCAACCACAGACGCCCAGGCTGAGAGGAGGCAGGAGGAGATGAGCCGGAGGCAGACCGGAAGGACGCCAGCGGCCAACACAGGTCATTAACCTTCCTTCTGGGCCACGCATGTGCGTTGCAGGGTCGTTCAGCCAGAAGCACGTGTCAGAGCCACAGGCTCCAGGCTCCAGGCCAAGCTGGGGAGAAGGGAAGAGGGGAGGAGAGGTTGGGGAGGAGGGGAGAGGGCGGGAGGGGCTGGGGAGGAGGGGAGAGGGCGGGAGGGGCTGGGGAGGAGGGGAGAGGCGGGAGGGGCTGGGGAGGAGGGGAGAGGCGGGAGGGGCTGGGGAGGAGGGGAGAGGGCGGGAGGGGCTGGGGAGGAGGGGAGAGGCGGGAGGGGCTGGGGAGGAGGGGAGAGGGCGGGAGGGGCTGGGGAGGAGGGGAGAGGGCGGGAAGGGCTGGGGAGGAGGGGAGAAGCTGGGGAGGAGGGGAGAGGGCGGGAGGGGCTGGGGAGGAAGGGAGAGGCGGAAGGGGCTGGGGAGGAGGGGAGAGGCGGGAGGGGCTGGGAGGAGGGGAGAGGCCGGGAGGGGCTGGGGAGGAGGGGAGAGGGCGGGAGGGGCTGGGAGGAGGGGAGAGGTCGGGAGGGGCTGGGGAGGAGGGGAGGGGCGGGAGGGGCTGGGGAGTAGGGGAGAGGCGGGAGGGGCTGGGGAGGAGGGGAGAGGGCGGGAGGGGCTGGGGAGGAGGGGAGAGGCGGGAGGGGCTGGGGAGTAGGGGAGGGGCGGGAGAGGCTGGGGAGGAGGGGAGAGGGCGGGAGGGGCTGGGGAGGAGGGGAGAGGGCGGGAGGGGCTGGGGAGGAGGGGAGAGGCGGGAGGGGCTGGGGAGGAGGGGAGGGGCGGGAGAAGCTGGGGAGGAGAGGAGAAGCAGGGGAGGAGGGGAGAAGCTGGGGAGGAGGGGAGAGGGCTGGGTGCCTGCAGCCCCGCCCAGTGTGGGCCCCAGCCCACCTTCCATGCTGCTGTCTGCGGCAGCCCCAGCCGCAGGGCCCCGGGCCGAGAAATGCACTGTTAAACTGGGCGTGGTGGCTCAGGCCTGTAATCCCAGCAACTGGGAGGCTGAGGCAGGAGGATTGTTGCGAGTTCGAGACCAGCCTGGGCTACAAAGTGAGCTCAAGGCCAGCCTGAACTGCATAGAGACCCTGCCTCAAAAAGACAAAAAAAAAAGAGATATGCTTGCATTTGAGTTAAATTCAAACCGCCCCGACACTGGAGGCAGGCAGTGTGAGGTCTCCGCTCCCACCTGCCGCGCACCGACCCGGCCTGCACTGCCTCCCAGCGGTGCAGCCCGCCCCCCCCCCCCCCCCGCCTGGCCTCGGTCTCTCGGTCTCTCGGTCTCTCGGTCTCTCGGCCCGGCTGCCCGCCCGGGCGTCACGTGGGCTCCGCCACACCTGCTCCTCCTGGCTCCGGGCGGGCGGTCAAAACACCCCGCTTCCCCGCGGCGAGGCGCAGGAGCCAGTCTGAGATTGGTGCCTATTTTTTCCACCAGAGGCTAAGAATACCCACGTTGCTAATTTGAACACAAATAGTGAAAATGTCTCTCTCTGTCTCTGTCTCTGTGTCTCTCATCTTTTCTGCCTCTCCCCCCTCCTTTCTCTCCCCTCCTCCCCCACCCCCCTCCCATCTATCTTTGGATGTTTATTCTGTTTTCAGTTTACAAAAACAAAGCCCTTCCGCTGTGCAGACTTCCTACACTGGTTGTGGTCTCCAGACGGTTCCTTGTAAAACAAATGCATCTTGCTTATGGTTTTTGCAGAGCTACCTAGTTTAGAAAGACGTGGACGTCTGTGCATCCTTGGCTGTCTGTCTGGTACCCAGGAGCCGGCATCAACATCCCGTCCTCCGCTTCCCCTCCCCTGCTGCCACTGAGGCATCCAAAACTGTCTGCAGACATTGCTGCGTCCTCCGACGCTGGGTACAGGCCTGCCTTGGGTGGGAGCTTGCAGCACAGGACAGGGATGTCTGTGAACCCCGAGCCACCTCTGGAGGTGAAGGTGCATAAACTCTGGTTCCCAACAAATTTCTAGGTCTTAGGAGGAAGAGCTTCAAAAGGGCTGCCAAGCACCCTTTTTTGTTCTCAAGGTTAGGTTCCAGGGCTGTGGTGCTGGACAAACGGACAAGCTTATTGGGAGGGTGCTGCATGCCAGGCACCATTCCAGGCACCTGTAAGATGGTGGCAAGAAAAACAGACACTCTCCTGCTCGCCAGTTGTGTGTGTGCACACGCGCGTGTGTAAGCAGCTAATACATTAATTAATGACAACAAAGTAACTTCAAAAATTACAACTGACATGCAGGCAACAGAATAGAGCACTTTAATTGGGACGGGGTGCAGGAGTGCTGTTTTAGCTGGGGAAGACCTGCCTGTGGAGGTGATGCTCAGCTTGCTCTTTGAGAAGGTGACAGTCACTGGGATATCTTAGGGGAAGAGCAGACCAGACCAAAGGAAGAGCAAGTGCAAAGGCCCTGAGACAAGGAGGAATTCAAGCTGCCATCACATATCCACTGTTGCTGTCATAGGAGAGGCAGGGGTGGGGGAGGCTGTAACAGGAGTAAGACCTAGGGCTTTGTGGGATTTCACATTTATTCCCCCTCTAGTAGGGGAGGCTGTATAAGGTCTCCACGACTGCTGTAACTACTTCCTATAAAACTCAGATCAATACCACTGTCCAAAATCAAAGTGTCCATAGGGCCATGCTCTTACTGGAGGTGGAGGGGAATCCGTTTCTTGCCTCTGCTGTTGGCTGCAAGTTTTCTTTGGTCTGGTCTCTGCCTCCACAGCCACTTTGCCTCCTCCTCTGCCTGGGTTAAGGAGACTCCATCTGTCTCCCTTGGATAAGCATGTAAGTGATCGTATTTAGGGTCCCCTGGGTCAATCACCACCCATCTCAAGACCCTTACTATAATCACAGCTGCAAGAATCCTTTCTCCCATGTAAGAGAACATTCACAGGTTCTGGGAGCTAGCATCTGATACTTGAAAGGGCCCAGGTAGCCCTTGAGGACATCTCATGAGACAGCAGTCCAGGACTTTCCCCTGCTGCACATGGTGCCTGGAAGCATGCCTGGGCTCCCTCAAGTGGAGTGAGCCTGCAGACAGACATGAGTGTGGAGGTGGAGAGGCAGCTTGCTTATCTCTTGATACATAACAAAGTACTCAGGATTTTATTCTCACAGTGTTGTGCATCAAGAATTCAAGTAGGACTTGGCAAGTATTTCATTGCTATAACTGAATATCGCAGACTGGGTCATTTATAAAGAAAAGAGGTTTAGTTAGCTCACAGTACAAGAAGTTAAGGACGTGGTACTGGAATCTGCTCAGCATCCAGTGGAATTTTTTTTTTTTTTTTGCAATACTGGAGATTGAACCCAGAGCCTTCATACTGAACTACATCATCAATCTTTCTAATTTTTCATTTGAGATAGACTTTTGTTAAGTTCCCCAGGCTGACTTGAGACTTGTGGTCCTCCTGCCTCAGCTTCCTACGCAGCTGGGACTACAAGTGTGCAGCCTCAGGCCTAGCTCTTTATTTTTAAGACCTATGAACAAATAATATCTGTTGTCAGAGCTACTGGGTCTTTGCATTTTGTTGTGGCTTCCTGCTGTGGTTTGAACATTCGTCTCCTTCCAGACTCATAAGGTCGTGGAGGCTCTGCCCTCAGCCCTGGACTGATGGACTGTCCCTGGAGGGAGTGTCTAATCACACAGGGGAGGGTGGGTGTGGCCCTTTGGCCTCCTGCTCACCTTTCTTTTCTTTTCCCTGATGTAGTGATGCAGCGTGAAGGGCCTCATCAGATGCAGCCCTCTAATCTTGAATTTCTGGGCACCAGAACTGTGAGCCAGTGAACTCTTGTGCATGATAAATCACCTGAAGTCTTCTCTTACAGTAGCACAGAATCGACTAAGACACAACCCTAAAAAAGGAAACAGATTTGAGTACCTAGAAAGTAGCACAGTGCTCCAACAAACACCCAAAAATGTGGAAGTGACTTTGGACCTGGATACTGGGTATGGACCAGAAGAATTTTGAGTTGCATTTTAGAAAAAGCTTGAATTACTCACATTAATTAGTTTGTCAAAAAAAGAGACCACATTGGGCTGGGGATTTAGCTCAGTGGTATAAGTGCTTGCCCGGCAAGCGGAAGGTTGTGAGTTCGATCCCCAGTACTAACCACACATACGCACGTGCACACACACACACACACACACACGCACGCACGCACGCAAAGATCACGTTGCCAGCAGATTTAGTGTCTGGTAAGGCCTCACTTTCTGCTCCGCAGGTGGCATCTTCCTGCTTAATTCTCATGCCATAGAAGGGACAATACACTTTCTCAGGTTACTCTCACAAGGCGTTAATTCTCTCCAGGAAGGCACAGCGCACTCAACCCGACTAGCTTTAGGAACCTCCTCTGCTAATACTCCACATTGGGGATTAGCTTTCAACGTACACATTTTGGCTGGATACAAATACTTACATCACAACAACCATCTTAAAAATACATAGGTATTATCATGAGCGGAATAGTAGCAGAAATAAGAATCTTAAAAGTACTTTTGGCAATCCATAATTTTGTACGAACATTAACTCTTCTGATTCATGAACATGGGTTTCCTTTATTTATACATCATTTAATTTCTTTCTGTAATATTTTATTGTTGTTACTATATGTGTCATTTACCTCCTTGGTTATCACTAAATATTTTGTTCTTTTTGATACCACTGGGAGTAGAATTGTTCTGTAATTGGCTTTTCAGATTGTTCATTGTTAATGTATAGGAATGCAACTGGGCCAGACATAGATGGTGCAGCACTCAGGAGGCTGAGGCAAGAAGATCTCCGTGAGTTTGAGGCCAGCCTGGACAACACAGCAAGTTCAAGGCCAACCTGAACTACATAGTGAGACCTTGTCCAAAAAAAGTGACTGATTTTTGCATGCTGTATACTGCCTTTGTATCTTTCTACATTGATGAATTCATTTATTAGTTCAAACAATAACTTTTGTGGAAGCATGATTTTTTTGATAAATCATGAACTCACTCTGAACACAGATAACTGTACTTCTTCCTTTCCAACATGAATGCTTTTTATTTCTTTTGCATACCCAACTGCTCTGACTGGAGTTTTCAATACTCGGCTCGACAGAAGTGACAGAAGTAGACGTCCTTGTTTTGTTCTTGATCTTAGAAGAAAAGCTTTCAGTATTTCACTCCTGAGCCTGCAGACTTCTGGAGGTTTTTCACATATGGTTTTCATTATTTTGAGGCAGTTTCCTTCTATTTTTGACTTGTTGAAGTTTATCATGAAAAGATGTTGAATTCTGTGTTCTTTGCATCATTGAGGTGATCACGTTTTCCCCCCTTTTCTCTACTAATGTGGGATATGACATTGATTGACTTTTTTTCCTACTGGGCATCAGACCCAGGACCTTGCACTTGCCAGGCAGGTGCTGTGCTGCTGAGCTACATTCCTGGCCCCACTCATTGACTTTTGTGTACTGAATCACCCTTGTATCTTAGGAACAAATCTCTACTGGTTGTGACATGGTTCTGTTACTATGTCATTGAATTGGTCAGCTTTCTGTTACTGTAACAAATACCCAAGACAATCACTTTAATGACAGAAAGGGTTTTTTTTGGTGAACAATCTTGAGGGTTTCAGTCCATGGTGGCTTGGCCCCATTGCCTTTAAACGACAATGGTAGGAGGGAGTGATGGAGAGAATTGCTTGTTTTGAGGCAGCCAGAAAACAAAGAGGTTCCAGGGCTGGGGTCCCAATGGGCACACCTCCCGTGACCTAACGTCCTCCCACAAGGACCCACTTCCTGAAGGTCTCACCATCCCAACAGCACCATAGGCTACAGACCAACTTTCCAACACACGGGTCTTTGGGGAACGCTTATCAAATCATAAAGCAACCCTCCGAAACCAGCATTACCCTAGCACAAAAACTGAAAAAAAAATTATAAAGAAAAGAAAACCACATGCCATCCCTCTTTCAAACACACTGTAAAAACTCAACAAAATCTCAGTAAGGTAGAAATAGAGGGAACTTCCTCAGCCTGAAAGAGGGCGTGTATGAGGGGCTTTCAGGTTTCATTATATGTAACGATGAGAGGATGACTGTTTCCCCTTCAGATCTAGAGGAAGAGGAAGAGGAGACAGAGGAGCAGGAGGGAGGGAGAAGGAGGAATAGGAGGAGGAGGAGAGGGAAAGGAGGAGGAATAGGAGGATTCTACAGAGAGCCATGGCCCCTTCCCACCTTTCAGGTCTTTATTAAAATGTCACTTTGTTCCTAGAAGCCTTTTTTCTTTTTTTAAAAAAGCCATCTGTGGCAGGCTATTTAATGGTCCCAGAGGGATCCAGGGCCTCATTCCTGGCACCCGTGAAGATCCCCTTGACGACAAAACAGAGTCAGCTTTAGAGGTGCTTCAGCTGAGGGAGGGTCTGCAGATGTAGAGACTGGATTATCCAGGTGGACCTGAAGGCCATCACAAGGGTCCTCTGAAGAGGGGGCCTAGGGAGCTCTAACACGAAGGAGGGTGGGATGTGATGACAGGAAAGCAGCCAAGTGAGGTGAGGCCCTGCGGGGGAGGAAGGGACGCAGCTCTGCAGCTCCGAGGCTGGAAGAGGCAGGGAGCAGACCCCACCCCCTCGGCCCCAAGGCTAAGGTCATGCATCCTTTGGCATCATCGCCACCCGCCCTGGGAAACTGACCCAGGGCTGTAAATACATACACTGAGTCTGTGGTGCTTGATGATAGCAGCCTGGGAAACTCACAGTCCCATCCTACTTCGTGGCCACCCCAGCATCCTGCTCTTCCCTGGCTCCTTCTCCCCTACCTCATCAGCCCCGACACAACCTAGCCCATTGACCACGTTTGGCGTCTGTCTCTTCTGTAAACCCCAGGAGGCTGGGTTGTTTTTGTTTTGTTTTTTGTTTTGTTGCCTTTTCTCTTTTGTGTGTATGAGACCCAGCAAGCTGCCAGAAGTCCCATAGTTGAACATGTGCAGAAAAGAATTTAGTATTCAGAACAGTACAAGAAATAATTGCACACTCATCCCAGTGGGCCTTGCTTACAAATGCTCAAGTTTGCTCCTTTGTTAAACAACAATTGGGTTTCCAGCTGGGGATTTAGCTCAGTGGCATAAGCTCCTGCCTTGCAAGCAGGCAGTCGTGAGTTCGATCCCCGGTACCGATAAAAAAAAATTATAATAAAAAAAAATAGGCAAAGAGCTACGTCCCGCCTTGCTGGGGATAGAATCGGGGCTTTACATGTGCCAGTCAAGTGTCCTGCCACTGCGCTATGTCATCGACAAACAGCAATACAGTTAAAATTCAAGCCCAACAGTGCTGTTCACCTCCATAGAGGCAAGCAGTGTTGGCACAATTAGGTTTCCAGCCCATCCTTTTGGATTTCATCTATAGCTAAGAGTTGATTGATGGTATCGAGTGCTATTTCGATCTGTGTTTAAATGTACAGAGATGGATCCACGCTGTCACCTGCCTTCCCTCTCCTCATTGTGATTTTGAGCAGCCACAGACCTGCTTCATTTCCCTGAGCTGCAGTAGAGTGTTCCCCTGTGGGAACAGACTGGACGGTTCATCTGTCTTCCCTGCTGCCGCGCAGAGCCTCGGCAGGAAGCCAGCGCCGCCCTGCAAAAGGGACGGATGGCCTGGAACAGGGCAACCTCCTCCTCACCAGCTCCCCGGACTTTCACCATCTCAGATAAGCTCCAGCCAATGCCTTTGCTCTATCTCCCTGTGGCCGCAGGCAGCAGCTCCTCCCACGTTCCCTGCAGGGACTTGCTAGGGGTCAGGCTGTCCTTAGGCACCATGGTACCCCAAATCCTCTTTGCTTAGAAAGTGAGTGGAGCGTTTTGTTCAAGTGTCTCAAGGGAATCTACCCTGAGCTTTCCTGAGCCATCGCCGAGGACCTCTTTGAACTTTCTTTACACAGCCACGTCCTCCACAGTTTTGTCACCATGGCCCTCATCAAGAAAGGCACAACTTGAAACAATGCAGGATCCAGTGTCAAGGAGAGTCCTAGCACCCTCCCTGGTCAGCTGTGTCTCTGCCTCCCGCCTTGTGTCACTGACGCCGACCCCCCACTCCAGGTCTGAGGTGGGAGCAAGTCTGAGGACTCTGGGGAGGCTGGGGGTCAGTCGCTGCAGAAGCAGGACTTTCTGTAGGAAGTGCACAGGTGCTGCATCCCTCTCACTTCCTCCTTGGGGGCCTGGGAGGGTTGGCCTGTAAGTAGCCGGCTGCTATTTACAGCTCTACTGCTTGCTGTGAAACCCCAGGCCCTCCCAAGAGGGAAGAGTGTGGGGAGAGGGATGCCAGGTGATACTGGGCTTGGTCTGGGGCACAACGGGCCCAGGTGCAGCAGCCGGGGAGTCAGAGTGAAACATGGTCTGGGAGGCCAGCAGAGACGAGGTGTAGAAGGCTCCTTCACAGATCACGTCTGTGTGTTGTATTTGTAGATACTCCAGAGGTACAGAGGGGCTGCTGGTGGTGATAGCCCACTTATCTGATTTTGATGAAAGGAGAAACTGAGGCCTAGAGAGACTATGACATAATCCGAGGTCACACACTGAGCTTGGAGCTTTCACAGGTCTAGAGCTCAGTGTCCAGGCTCTCATGCTAGCGCTGTTTGTCTCCTCGGAAGGAGCAGAGCTACCAATTTGGAGCAAAGGAGAGATGAGTCATTTTGAGGGCGGTCAACACCTGCCCCGGCCATTTCCAGGGTCTGGCCTGGGCCAGCAGGTGCCTCATATGTCCAAGACGCCTGGTGGACAGTCAGGATTTGGGGTGAAAGGAGAATGGGGCTACGGAGACAAGGAAGGGGCTGCCCACACAGGAGACCTCCACATCTGGAACCTCAAAGTCCGTGTTAGGGCAAAGGAGCCCAGCTCCCCTCTGCCTTCCCATTCATGTTGGCCTTTGGCATCTTTTGCTTTGGCAGCTGCTTCCGGGTTGTTCTTGGGAGCTTAATGTAAATTGATTCCACTGGAATAAAAACGGCTGTGTGAATTCTTTTTACCTTCCTTCCCTCCTTTCTTCTCTCCCCATATACTATGTGTTGCCACACATCAGTGGAGGGTCAAAGCGATCCTCATCGACCAGGAGAGATCTGACCGAGATTTGCAGGAGATGATGGGTCACTCCTGCAGATCTCTGAGCATTTCAGGCAGAGGCTGCTGGGCGAGAGTGTGATCAACACTCTTGAGGTCCAGAGAGGAATGCTGTGGCTGGGTAGAGTGAGTGGGACAGGCGGGGGAGAGTAGCAGGAATAATTCTGGTAGGGGCCCAGGTTCTCTCTTGGAGCAGCTGCGGAGCAGGCAGTCTGTGGCTTAGGTCCTAATGGGTGACACGGTCTCCTGGCAGAAGTCACAATGAGGAGGGTGCAGGCTGCAGGAGGGGCCAGCGGGAGGCTCCCTGGATAACACCCCAGAATCATATGTTTATAAATTGGGAGGGGTGGGTGTATTGGGCACAGGGGAGTCAAGGTCACGGTCCTTGTGTGCAGTGCAGGGAAGGAGTCAGGTGGGCGAGTCCAAGTTCAGCCTGGTGCACAATCAGCCTCGTGACGCTGTGCCAGGCCTAAGACGGCAGCACCCACAGAGTTCTAAATCATGTGCATGCAGTTAGCTCAGTCTGGTGCAGTGTGAGTACCCAGGAAACGTCAGCTGTGGTTACAGTGATGCCAGTAGTCGTAATTCACTCTGACCTCTGGCAGTCCGCTTATCATCTCCAAATCTGTTTTCTGCCTTATGAAATGCACACAGCTATTGGACCAGTAGGTCCTGAGCTCCTGTTGTCTTCCAGACAGCAGGGACACATGAGGGACCTACAGAATCCCTGGTGCTGCTTTTCGTTTCAGGAGATGAACATAATAAGTAAGCAGCCAAAACATGCCATTTGCTTATCAAAACTTGAAAGCCTTGTACCCCAGGAAAAGGACCAATTTGAGGGGCTGAGGCACAGGGGTGAGTGATGGAGTGTACATTAGGTGGCGATCGGATGTGGCCTGCCTGGGGGACTTGTGAGCTGAGGTATAAAGGAACTAATGGGGGGGCGGGTACGGTGTGAATAGCTACCAGGGTTTG